AAAATACCCAAAGGTAGTCTACAATGCAAAAATAACAGAGAGAAACATAGGGCAATATTGTTGGAAAAAGCAGTGTGAGTGAAAACATATAATTAATCACACTCACAAACCTATATTGATTGTAGGCATATCATAGATGGTATTATGTTGGCTTCAGGACTTGTGGAACATTATAGCATGTATTGGAAGAAAAAAAAAGAAAAGAATAGTGCAGAGTATCTATATAAAATGACACTTTAATAAAAAACACACTTACAAGATGAAAGTGGTAAACAGGCACATCAAAATCTGAGTGTTCTGGTCCCAATGTCCAAAAGGGCAGGAAAACCAGGAAACATTAAATAAATAAATAAATAAATAAATAAAAGAAAATAATAAAATATATACTCTAAACATAAGAACAAGCCCTACACGTTTCATTCTATTGAACTTCCTCAGGGGCATATAGCAGGATTTTCTTCACATGCAGGCATAAGATGTACTGTGCCAATACTCTCCTTAAATCCTTCTGGTGCTGGCGCAAAGCAATTAGCCCAATCTGTGTTCGATTACATACTTCCGGTTCAACCTCCGGAGTACTTCTGGGTACGCCCCTAAGGTGTTTCCGGAATTGCGGACCAAGCCTCACTTTCATGCTGTATCCGGACGGACGTCGGCAGATAATGCGTTCCATCAGTCCGTATGTGTTCCACTGCTCAGTTATGAGTGTAATCAGTCCATATTAACCATAAAGAAACAAAGAAAACAATACAAATTTCCATGAGACAAATTCATAAAAATCCCAACATTAGTGGGAGTAAGTATGTGATAACAATAACCAATTTAAAATATATAAACAAATTCCTCATACCAGAAGAACCCCAAAATAAGTTATTAAACTAAAAACACTGTATAGAGAAACATACTAATGAGAGGATGGCACAATCATAAACAATATAATTACATTTTGCACAAATCTATGAATATCACAATAGAGAAAACATATTATAAAACAAAAACATACTATAAAAAACATATTAAATCAAAATCGACATTCAGTCCCCTTGGTTGCATTGTTTTTAGTGTATGTGTCCAGTAGCCCTCTCTTTTCCTCAAAAGCATCATGAGGTCACCACCTCTTTGTCTAAAGTCACCTGTTCAATAACAGTGCATTTAAGGGTATTACAATTAAAAATAGGGCATTTATTGCAGTGCACTGGCACTGAATGTGTTAACATGTTTTTTTTAATATTATTTTTATGCTCCTGAAATCTAATTTTTGCTTTTCTTCCTGTTCTCCCCACATATTGCATACCGCACCCACATGTGAGGAGGTATACAACATGTGTGGAAGAACAGGATACCTTATTTCTGATCCTGAATTTCTCTAAAGTTTGTGTACTGGTGAGGTTTTTAGTAATATTAAATTGATAGTCACAACTTTTACAGTTCCCACAGGTAAAAAAAACCTTCCTTATATTTAACTTGATCCTTCCCGGAACGGAAAGTGCTAGGTGCAAGAAATTGTTTGAAGTTAACTCCCTTTCTAAAAATGATCTTAGGGGCCTGAGGAATCTGTTTGTTTAGAAACTCATCTTCCACAAGTAACCCCTGGTGTTTTCTGATAATCCTTTCTACGTCAAAAGCTCTTGAATTGTATTGAGTATAGAAAGAGAAATCGAAGATAGGATTCTGAAAAAAGGCCTGTTCGGGGGAGCTCATACCAATGGAACTTGTTCGTCTCCCGAGCGGGGACCACCCTAATACCTCATTTAGAATGTTGATCTAGAACGTTCATACCTCGACCTGCTGCCAAAAACGCAAATGAAGCCTAGGCATATGTCTCCTCTGGGTGGCCGCCTGGTCGTATCACTGGCCGCCATCCAGGGGGAGCATTCGTGAACTGCTTCTCTCTCCCAAATGTACCCCGTTCGTTTCCCTAATGAAGACCGCCCAGGGCCCATTGGAATGTTCTCACCAAACAATTAGAACGTTCCCCAAGTTGCAACATAAGTGCGAAACCGCAGTAACACTTTGCAACAAGTGTGACACCGCAAGGGAAGCAATTAATGAGTGCTTCACGGGTGGCCGCCGTTCGTATAAATGAGGGCCGACCAGGGGAAGCATTCTTTTCCCAAAAGAAGATGCCTCCCTTGCCTGGTTTCACACAGGGACCCTATGAAAGGGGTACCATTCGCAACAGGTACCATTGTGGAGGTCCTGGGGTTGGTGTGGACATCCTTTGGGGAATTTCAAACTTTTGCACTCCTAGCTCCAGCCAAATGGTACCGGGTGTTATGTAGAAAGGAGAGGATTGCCGGCACTCCTGGATTTTAACATGATAGAGATATATTGCACTCACTCATCCACTAAATAGCAACTTCAATTTGATTAGTTTTTTAGTTTTTTTTTTTTTTAAATTATGCAGGCTTATGCATTGTATGATCATATACTGTTACTAAACCTCCATAATTATTGCCTCGATTAGGGTTTTTTATAAAAAATAAAAAAAAAATAATAAAATCTGTGAGCTTTGAAGTTGCTGTTTAGTAGATGAGTGCACTGGATCTTTCTGTATATTGTATAAATTGGCCCCAGCAGCACCCCATTTATGCATGTTCAGGTGAGTGCAGCCCCTTGGTTTTATAAATATATTTGTGAGTCAGGCCAACTCCTTGGTTTTGCACCCCTCCCTGTCACAGGTGCCTCATTCCAGGGCCTTATTTAGCTTTGTAGTGCAGAGATCCCCAGATTATTTTTTTTACCCATCTAAGTGGGTTAATTTTATAAGAGCAGACATTAGGCCGATAGAGTAGGACCTGCCAAAGATGGGGTAAATTGATGTTGTGGCAGGTGTAATTATATATATGCAGGTTAAAACGATGGAATACCAGGACAGGATACCGGATGGGTAAATAATTTAACTATTTATTTCATATCATGCCGATAGTGGCAGGGGTAGACTCTCTTTTGAGTTGATTGTCAGAATATATTGACAAATTACTACAGCTTTTAGTGGTTTTTCGCAGCCCACTTATTTGATTCAACCCAATTAATTAGGGAATTACAGAATATCCCTTGGGAAGATGGTTGTATAATGGCTACATGCGATGTCAGCAGCTTATATACGATCATCTCCCACCATTTGGGTTGCAAGGCTGTAAAACACTTTCTATCTTATAGTTCAATACCTGATAGCCGAAAGGATTTTGTCTTGGAGGGGATTAAACTAATTTTATATAACAATTATTTTTGGTTCGAGGGATCCTACTACCTACAATTGGTGGGTAGTGCGATGGGGACAAAGTTCACGCCCAGCTATGCCAAACTTTTTATGTCCTATTGGGAAAAGTCTTTCCTTCGTGGGGTTAATGGCTGGTACGCGAGCTTGGTACATTGATGACATTTTTTTCATTTGGAACGGTGATGTGGGGTCCCTCGAATTATTTCTTGCTTTTGTGAACTGTAATGAGAGGAATATATCTCTCACTCTAAGGTACATTTTGTGGACTTATAAATTTATATTGAAAATTTTAACATCAAACAAAAACATACTTTAAAAACGTCAATGTAAACAGTTACATGGACACAACTAGTTGTCATATTGTACCCTGGTTACGTAATATAACAAAAGGGCAATTTATGAAAGTCCTAAGGAATTGCAGTGGTTCACAGGAATTCGATATTCAGACCGATATTTTAACTTGTTTAACTATCATTTGGAGATTTAAACCAACAGAAACAGGAAATTAGGTCTATGACCTGAAAGGACGTATTGCAATATAAAGCCACAGTTTAGAATTCACACCCTAAAAGTGATTTAAATATTCCTATAATCCTTGATTTTAATGAAAATGCCAAACAAATAAAACATATTTTAAACAAATATTGATATGCATCTTGCAAACAAATAGTAATCTTGAAGGGATTATAAATGATAAACCTAATGTTATCTATAGAGGAGCGAAGAACTTAAAGAACAGCCTGGTAAATAGTAATATCAGACCAAAAAGAAATAAGAGTGACGGTAACTTTTTAAAACAAAAATCAGGTTTTTATTATTGTAAGATGTGTCCAGCGTGTAAAAAAACTAGTAACAAGAAGGACACTTTAACTGATTTTAAATCATATGCCACAGGCGAAAGTTTTAATATTAAGAACTTTCCATTCTAAAAATGGGGTGTATCTTCTCTGGTGTCCCTGTGGGCTCCAGTATGTGGGAATGACTACTAGAAGTTTAAAAACCTGCATACTTGAGCACATTGGAAACATCCAGAGGGAATACACAAAACATAGTCTATCTGCATGTTTTTTTAGACAAACACAACAGCGACCCCTCTTTCTTAGGTTTTATGGCTTTTTAAAAAAAAGAACATTAATTGGAGGGTGGAGGACAATTTTAAAGAACTTAATAAAATTGAAAGTCGGTGGATTTTCAATCTGGACACCATGTTTCTAGGGGACTAAACATTGATTTTGAGTTTATTCATTTTCTTTCATTTTTTTGGTGTCCAATATGGTATTCTTATCCTCCCCCCACCAGATGAATTCTGTCTAAAAGTCCTTTTTAGACCCACCTTTTTACTTATTTTTCTCCTTCTGTATACTTGTGTATTTTTATAATTTTTTTATTATTTATTTTTATGTAATTTTTATGTATTTTATATTTTACAAGTAGATATTTATCTACATTATATGATATATGCCATGGTTTCACATATTATTATTCTATCTCTTATATTGAAATGCCATCTGTTTATTGATCTTCTATAATGTAAGATTTGTTTATTTTACAATGTAAGGATCATTGGTTTATAATACATGATATTTGAGATGGAGTTTCCCTTTATGTGGGTAAAGTTTCTTAACATGCTGTTTATTCCTTTTTCTGTCATATATACCTAATATTTGCTTTGCATTAGGGCATCTTTGCCCTCAGTTACAATGGTAATATGTGCCTTTGAGGAGAGAAAATATTGTCAAAACACAGCGTGATGACATCATACCGGAAGTGACGTCACATCAGCAATAAGGAAATGAACGTCAGCTGATCGAGACCGGGAGAGAACAGGATATAAAAACGGATGAAAATAGAGCTATGGACAAGCACTGAAGAAAGCTAATAGGTGAAACGCGTCTGCTGTCTACTGCACCTTTGGAATTTGGACTTATCTGGACTTTTGGCGGTGATTTCTCTGTTTTACACATTACTTTATTTTATATTTTTTTATATCCATGTTCTTCTATTCCATTTTAATAGTATGAAATAAATAGTTAAATTTTTTACCTATCCAGTGTCCTGTCCTGGCATTCCATCGTTTTAGCATGCATAAGCACCCTATATGCTGACTATATAGAGCCTGGAATGGCTCTATTTTTGTGAGTTTGATTCCATTTATTCTGTTCTTATGTTTATTGTTATTATACAGAAAGCACTATGTTGTTATTTTGCCTGTATTTTCAGGTGTATTGAACTTGTGCTGCTTCAACACACATAAGTATATCTAGTGTGTTTTCACATTGGCTGTATAATGTCTTATATCTCATGAACCGCACGCTTGAGATTTTCTCAGAGTGGCTCAATGATATTAAGGTCAGGAGACTGTGATGGCTACTCCAGAACTTTAACTTTAACATAAAACTCTATGTCGGTCTTGTCACTTCAAATTACAGTGTGCCAGAAGCTTGAGGTGGGTCAAGGTGTTGTCGGGCATATTGCAACCGGGCTTTTTTGTGGCATAGGAGCAGTAATGGTTTCTTTCTTTCAACTCGACCATGCAGCTAATTTTTGTTCAAGTATCGTCATATTGTGCTCCTTGAAACAACCACACCGTCTTTTTCCAGAACAGCTTGTATTTCTCCTGAGATTGCCTGTGGGTTTTTGTTTGTATCCTGAACAATTATTCTGGCAGGTGTGGCTGAAATCTTTCTTCGTCTACCTGGCCTTGGCTTGGTATCAAGAGATCCCTGAATTTTCCACTTCTTAATAAGTGATTGAACAGTACAAACTGGCATTTTTAAGGCTTTGCATATCTTCTTCCATCCTTTTCCATCTTTATAAAGTTCCATTACCTTGTTACGTAGGTCATTTGACAGTTCTTTTTTGCTCCCAATGCCTCAATATCTAGCCTGCACAGTGCATCCACTTGAGAGCTAACAAACTCATTGACTATTTATACACAGACACTAATTGCAATTAAAAAAGCCACAGGTATGGGAAATTAACCTTTAATTGCCATTTTAACCTGAGTGTGTCACCTTGTGTGTCTGTAACAAGGCCAAACATTCAAGGGTATGTAAAATCAGGGCCATTTGGGTAATTTCTGTTATCGTTATGATTTTAAAAGGGGCCAAACAACTATATGATAATAAATGGCTTCATATGATCACTATCCTTAAAAAAAAAAAAAAAAAAACTTAAAAAAAAACTGTTTTGCATGAGCAGTCATATTTTCAAAATCAGTGCCAAAATTTCACAATTTATGCCAGGGTATGCAAACTTGCCATCACGTAAAAAGTAAAATCATTAGAGGGGTGCCAGGGCTGTCGTTACTTGTCATGTACATGTGATCTCATCTTTATAAATGCATGCATGGTTAAAAATTATGTTAGACGTGGTTAGGCTAAAGGGGGTTAAAGTTTGAGAGGGGTTAATATCAGAGTATGATTACATATGGTGGTAAATTTGGCTCTGGCTAGGGCACTCTTGGCACTATAACCACTACAGCATGCAGTAATGGTTAAGATGCTCTGAGTGTTCCTTTAAAATCTTTTTTTTAATATGAAATATATGTAATCTTGCCTACTCCCTGCCACACATAAGAGCATTCCTTTACGAGGCACTGTTATTTCTGACATGAAAGTATAGTATATTAAGCTGGATTGAGACAAACACTTTTTTTACCACTTTTAATAGACAATTTATGTATCTTTTTGACATTATCAGAAATGATTATATTAAATAGGTGCATTTTTTTGTATTTGTCACCATTTCCTGAAATTCTGAATATTTATTAGATTTCTCATAGTTGATCACGCTGCTATAATGAATCCTAATCCAGGGGTGTACTAAATGATTCATTTTCCCTAGAGACATCATTCATTTACAATTACACATCTGCATTACAGTAAAGTGTTACATTACCCCCTTCCTGTCCACAGGACATGTAATGCTCATGAATAACTATATCACCGAACACTGGCTTATACACTCATAACAGCTATAAGACTGCATCCTTTATCACTTGCATCCATGGAGGAATTTTGCTTCCTCATTTGCTGTCATCATATTGGTTTAAAAAAAGTATTTGTTTCAACAGATTTGTCATTTTGGTTTGGACGAACTTCATCCATGAAGTCACTTTGGGAAAACTATTTGGACATTTGGACCAAAATGGTGTGCAAATTGGCCAGGGCATTGCAGAGTGTAAAATGTATGCATTTTACAGTACACTGATTTTTTTAATACCATCTGGTTTACAGATCAAATGAGAAGTAACCAATAGAGGGCAAAAAAAGAGAAGCAGTTGAAAAAATAAGCTGTATTTTTTTTTTTCTTTTATGCATACAGCTTATTGCATTTGTTCTGGTGATTAGAATAATTTCCTTCAGTCTCTTTGGTGTAAACACTGTCTTTTTAGATAAAATGCGACGTTTACATTAGTCCAGTGATAACTCCACTGATCACTCCTCAGATGGCTGTTAGAGGTGCTTCCTAGGGCAGTACTGTACACTGTACTGCTATTTAGTGTCTTCACCCTCTGCATGCAGACACTGAACTTTCCTCATAGAGATGTATTGATTCAATTCATCTCTATGAGGAGATGCTGATTGGCCAGCGCTGTGTTTAACTTGTGCTGGCTCTGCCCCTGATCTGCCTCCTTGACAATCTCAACCAATCCTATGGGAATGCGTTGTGATTTGCTCACAGAGACACTTCTGATGATGTCAACTGTAAGCAGGCAGATCGGGCATAGGCAGCAGCTGCAAACTTGAATACAAGTTAGATTTTACTATTTTTAGGGTGGCAAGAGGGAACCAGGGGGGCTTGATGGTTGTTTTAACAGTATAAGGTCAGGAATACATATTTGTGTTCCTGATCCTATAGTGTTCCTTTAAATATATAGTATATAGATATTTTTTACTGCTCCTCCCTTTTTTCCTCTATTGGTCACTTGTAACTTGATATGTGAATAAAATCAACATTTAGTGGCTGTCCAGTAACCATCACTCATCTTTTTTTTTTGGCGCCACGGACAGCACTGATCACAAAATTAAGCAAACTGTTTAGTCTAATGTCCATTTAGTTTGTTTCATGATTCGTCCATATATCATCATTCGTTAAAACCAAATGCACAAGTCTAGAGAACACTCTGTCTAGCTCTGGAAATAGCTAGAGTAGCTACAATACACACTCACAGTGGCTCTGGAGATCATGGTTCCCTGCCTTGTTTACTAAACCTGACTGTGAGTACTTACTAACAGCTTACTGAGCCGTTCTACTCCTCCTACATGTAGATAGAACTACGTCTGGGGCCCAAACTACATATCCATTAAAACCCTGGTGGAAAAGGGATTATTATAAGAAAAACACAGGCCAGAATGAAAAGCTACTGGTTCACAGAGCCTCTATGGTAGACACTGCTGGGGCAGGCGTTTGACTATTAAGCATTTTAAATTTAAAGTGAATATTGTGTATCTTTTTATATGGTTTGCATATTATTGACACATTATATGTGTAGTGCATTAAAAAAGGAGAGGGGGGTATTTTCCAGCCCTGCCTTGTCTTTTTTATATAGTTCATCAACATTTAGAGAGTATTCTGCTACAAGCTGAATACTTTTCACCTTCTAGATGAATATCTACTTTTCCATCCATCAAATCTAAACTGCAATATTACATTCATATGATTCAATAATTTATTGTTAAAGGACATATGCTATAAAAACAAAGCCCATTTTAACTAAACACAAGGATTTCACGGAGACATCTAACAAACCGTTTTTTTTTATGGCAATTGTTTCATATCCATACTCATGAAGTTGTAACAAACAATTCAATTTGTGATCTGTACTAATAAATCATCAAACAGTATTTACAAACGAAGCACAGAAACATGTATATACAATTCTACAATGTTTTGTGGTATTACCAAACATGACAACTACAATGACACCTCTGCAATAGTTCCACACAAAGAGCTACCAAACGATAGCATTTCTTAATCTAGGACCTCTGTCTGGAGAGGCCAAGTTGGACACTGAAATATGGAAAGTCAGGTCCTAGGTCAGGGAAGCATATTTTAGCCCTGGAGGGAGAGAGGTCTCTCTATGTCACTCAGTTCCACCTGCCTCCCTCCTTATAATCACATCATTGATTCCTCTTCTATTTCTTTGTCCACTTCAATAGCTGTATTTTCGTAACTTGTTATTCCTCCATATTTTCTCATGTGAACCATCAATGGTTTGGGTGACTGGCTGCCTGCCAAGGTATTCACATACATGCCTGTCCTGTTTTCTTCCAAAGAAGGGCCCCAATGCATAGATGGTCTGCTGGCCTGTCGTATTCTCTGTGGGAATTATGAAGAAGAGAGAAACAATTATTTCTACACCAATTACTGAATATAAACTGGAGCTGACTTCTGCATTTTATTTTAAAACATCTCCTATTATGCTCAGCTTCACATTCATACTGATCTGTTTATTAGAATCCTGACAGCAGAGCTAATCTACAACATTCTTTAGTATCTAATAATTATTTCATTTTTCTCTGTGGATTTAGGAGTATTTTGTGAGAGTGGTTATCTTGCAGTGCTGGATATGTGAAGTGAAAGTTCTATTCCAACAACATTGGAGGACCATTGATGTCCATTCCCTCTATAGTTTAGAAGTTGATAGGAAGGGGCTTTAGGATTGAAGCTTCGGATGTTCTTCAGTCCCAGATTTGTACAGGTGGTGTAGGGGCAGCAAGAAGAGACTAGTGTTTTTTGTTTTATTATTATTATTATTATATTTAGACATCTGATTCACAAATCAATATATATTAAAACAATCACTAGTATAGTGCTCCTGCAGGTTACTAAGGGAAAGGGCTGTCACCCAAGGTGACAGCCAGAAATGGAGTGCTGGACAGAGGGTTTCTTTGATTTCTAAAGTAGTGTGACTTGGGAAGGTTTGTATGGAATAAATTGAAATGCAGCATTTTCTTGTTTCCAGCTGGGTTTTTTTTCATTTTTTT